GGGGCGCGGCTGCCTGCGCTCGCCGAGATCGCGGCCGCCGCGCTGCCCCTCCGGCTGCAGAAAGCCCCCGAGTCCGATTCAAACTTCTGTCAAACTCGCCAGCGCACTTGGCCGCCCAGTCACGTGGCGCGCGGTCGGGAACCCTCCTCCCGCCCCCTGCGCCCCTTTCTCAGCCCGCGGGGCTCCTTAAAGGGACCTGTGGCCTCCGCGGGCCGTTTGGCCGCGAGGGGGCTCAGGTTCTTGGCCAGAAGCCTCCAGGGCCAGACCGGACCCGAGGGAGACGCCGCGGCCGCTCCAACCCAGCGCCGGAGTCGGGAACTGGTCTGCGCTCTGGGGCGCACCGGTTCCTAGCTCGTCTTTCCCTAGGTCCCTGGATCTGGTGCCATTTTTCTTCTTCTTCCACCTCCCAATACCCAGAACCTAAAGGATTTTCAAAAGGCGCTAGCGGGGCTGCAATCCAAGTCTAAGGTTACGGTTAACAAATCGCTCGCTTCCAAAACCTTGGAGAGCCGGTACAGACAAAAAGGGCAATAGAAATATAAGTGGTTCGCTTTTTATTGTTTAGCCAGGCGTTGCTTTACCTTTTTAACAACAAAAGGCATTTGCATGTCATGATTTGAACGTTATTAATCTTTTAAAAGTATAAACTCAACTTGGAAATAGCCATCACAATTTAAATGAGAGTGAAAATAAAGTCCGAGGGCTAGGGGGCTCAAAGAATGTAATTTGTATCGAAAAGTTGGCAGTGTTGCATTATGCTCGATCTTAAATCCATCCCTAGCTTTCAAAAAGTGTTCGGCTGGAGCCCCAAGTGAGCAGTCAAGAATTTTACACATTCAGGTTACCGGCTTGTAAATGTGAGCAGTGGAAGAAGGTTAAGTGATCTGTCCAAGGTCACTGAGTGAGCCAGTGGGCAGTGCCAGGAGAGACCCGGCCCAGCGCCTATTACCCACCTCCTCACAGTCATTCTTGAAAGTCCCCTCTGAATGACTGCTTTTGAACAAACATTTAGCTATCAGTCAATTCATTCCTGCATTGAGTAAGTGCCTTCCCAAAGTTAGGGTAGGAGGGAGTGGCTGGATCAGATGTCTGGACTTGGGAGGGAACTTCCCCTGATTGCAGACAAATCTAGGCTAAATAAGGAACTGAGTCCCCAATCCAGTTTTTAATAAATTGACCCAGAGTTTTAGGTTCCTTTTCCATAAAGATGGGGATAATAATTTCTGCCCTATTTACCGTATAAGGTCATTATGAGGATTAAGCGGTGCTTGCAGGAGGCAACCAGTCGATGTGTCTCTCGGACATCGATGTTTCTCTCTGTGTGTCTCTCTCTCCCCCTTCCACTCTGAAAAGCAATGGGAAAAAATATCCTCAGGTGAGGATTTAAAAAACAAAACAAAAAAACAAAACAGAAGCCAAAGACAGAACCCTGAGGTATCAAAAATTTCAAGGGAATAAGGAGAGATGAGTAAGGAAGACTGAGAAGGAACGTCCTCTATTTTCCCAGTTATTTTTATGCCCATAGCACATGGCACATGGCTTTACCTCTAATGCTTGGAAAGCCTTCCTGTCCCTGGATTCATACCCCTCTCATGGGACTTTATACAGATTTTTATTAGCATTTATTTCACTGCATTTACATTATATGTCTGCTTCTTCCACCAACCTGAAAGCTCCCTCTGCTGAAAACTTTATTCATCTTTTTATCTACAACTCTTAACATAATGCATAGTAGGTGCTAAATGAATGATGCATGCAGCAGGGAGACATTAGTAATCCACAAATAGAGTGTGTAATATATAAGCATCAGAAAGTGTGAATATGTCTCTTATGCCTTTCTAAAAGTAGTAGACATGTTGGAAAGAATTCACCAGCAAAGCCATCTGGACTGTTTTTTTTAGAAGGTTTTAAATTATGAATTCAATTCCTTTAAAATATAAAATATAGACTTTTCTATTATTGTTTTGGTCTTGTTTTCTTTTTCAACAAAATTTTCCATTTTATCCAAATTGTCAAATTTATTGGTATAAAGCTATATATGATACCCTCTTATATTTTTAATGTCTGTAGGCTCTGTAGTGATGTTCCTTTTTTTATTGCTGATATTGGTTATGTGTTTTCTTACATTTTTTCCTTTATTAGTCTTGCTAGGAGGTGATGAAATTTTTTAGTATTTTTGAAGATTAATAAGTTTTGGCTTTCTCAATTTTCTCTCTTGTATATTTGCTTTTTATTTCACTGATTTCTGGTTTCATTTTTATTTCCTTTCTTTTACTTCCCTTGCATAAATGTACTGTGTCTTTCTCTAAATTTCCCTCTGAGCTCTGAGTCCCACAGGTAGTCCTCTTGCCAAAGTGGCCCATTAAAGGAGTCCCAGTCTTGAAAGAATGAGGCTGCATGATTATCCTGCCATGCTCAGTTATTAGCTAGGAACAGGTTGTGGGAAGTGTGGCCTCAGTTGTGAATCCAGGTCAGTAGCTGGGCCCATTAACAACTATGCTCTGCACAGCAGGAAATCCAATGGCCCATTTTCAGAACCAGCACAATTCACTCCTTTGCCCCACAGACCTACTATTTTTTTTTTTTTTTTTTAATATGTCTGTATTGATTTCAGAGAGAGGAAGAGAGAGAG